ACAGTTAAAACCTGTTTTGGATGCTAAAGGATATCCTACTAAATATTAATTTAACGAAAAATTTAAATGTTTACTAATACGTGAAGATTTTTTTTAAGCATACGAAGACTTTTGTGAGATAAAATGTTTGTCATTTTTTTATTATTAATTTCTTAAAAATAAAGTTTTGCTACATTTTAAACATATTTCATGTAATTTTGTTACAAATAGATTATAGATCTTATTATTAAAATCTCATTCAGACAGTTTACTTTTAATTAATGGATAGAGCCCTATTTCAATGAAAATCATAAGTGTATGAACACTTTCGGGAGCCACTGTATATAAACATTGGTGGTTATTCGTTTTTACTTTTCCGATGTGACTTTATCCGATTGTTGCAAGATAACACCAAGAAATTTGCCATGTGTGCTAGCGGACGCAATTCATTTTACCCTTCTCGGCTTATAAAGCCTGTTTTTCTGCTAGCTCCACCTACATACATGTGTACGCTTACGTATTTGCCGTACAAGATTTTCATTTTTATATAGAAGCAGTGGTTTTTCATTCAGTTCAGTTCTTTTTATGCAATTTGATAAAATATGCAAATTCTTTTAATTTATTTCACCAGTGTATTTATAAGCTTAAAAATAGGCTACATTAAATTTCAAGTTCTATGCTTCGAACATCAGTCCCAATGAGTAAGAGTCATCCTCGCACATGCTAAAATTTGATATAACAGACATAGAGCGAGTTGTGTTTCATGGTGCTTCAATGTGAAGCATAATGACCACTAAAAAAATGCAAAATCTGCTATGTTTATCACAAAGATAATTTTTATAAGCACTTACCAGGATATCATAACACTGCTGAGTGTTCTAAATATCATATCAGGCCTACCTCTGCTATATTTGGTGGTGCAACGAGAATGTGCAATTGTACAGCAAAAAATGTTAATGCTTTAAAAAATGATATCATCAACACAGATTTTTCACAAAATATAACCAATTTGCCTCACCATCCAGCAACTTTTGACTTTAGCTTCTGGATGGCAAGGCTTAAAACTAGAACTTTTGTAAACTTACAAAAGTGCTGGATACGATGGCAGTATACACTGACAACTTCAAAGGGAAGCAAGGAACTGATAGTGGTTACTGTGTGATATCATAATTAAATACAAATTAAGAAGACTGAATAATAACAACTTGACCTTTTGGGCAAAATGGTTGAAATATGTGGAGTATTAAAATATATATCCACAACGCCTATTACCATGACATTAATTTCCTATCATTCAGGGCAGCATTTCCAAAAATGTATTAGTCAGGCAAATACTAATAATAAACATGCCAGAAAATCTCAGGGTGAAATTTCAGTGGATCCCAGCTTACATCAGAATTCCTGGAAACAAACAGGCTGGTGTGATCATGAACTATTGCATAGTGGTTCTGGTAAGCCCTTCAAAACCCTTAAAATATTAAAAATGTACATAATATGTAAAATATTAAAATGATGAAATAAATGAGCACCAAATATTGCATTGTATATAAAAATAAAGAAAACTAAGGGCAACAACCGGGTCAGCTACACAATGTTAATGTTCGCCTTTTTTTTTTCAACAACAGAGAAGTGCAAAAAATCACATTCTATGAAGCTGAGCTTCTTTGCTTGTTATCAAACTTTATGGGCTGATATTTCTGCAATTCTGATTTTTTCCAAGCTCAAACAGAATGCTGTGTACATGGGGAAAAGAGTGGAAAAAAAAAAAAAAAAAGAAAGACAAGTGTTTTATTACAGATGTTTCTGGTATTTTTAATTTTTCTAATTGGCTGCTGCTTAATTTTTACTGCACTGCCATTTCTGAAAATGGCTGTTGTCTTTTGCATCTTAGCTTGACGAAAAATTATTCACCAATGGCTGACAACTTTTTAGGGATGGGATGTGAATAATCATAAAGTACCTTGTCTTGTTTAAACTAGGCTTCAGTGTAGAAGCTGAAGAATTTTGTAAGACTACATTAACATGACTTATATAAGAGAAGCTAAAGCATATACGTTCTAACACTTAAGTTTCTACATAAGGCTTTAACAACTCAATGGACAATTTAAATCCCATATAATTTGAATGAAGCATAAAAGCTAGCATATGATATGGAATTATTTCTAAATTAAATTTACTTTTAATGTGTTTCTCATAAATTTTCATAAGTGTATCATCACCCAGTGGCGCCTACTGTATTTCACAAGCATCTTCAATACGGCAATCACCTCTCCCTCTGGATTTTATCCAATGTAACAGCAATAGGTTTTAACAATAGCAAAAAAGTGTTTTACGTTTTTAATAATGATGATATTAAATAACACCATAAGCAGTTCTTTTTTACCATTTTTGTGATTTTCACATTCAGTGCGAAATCTGAAATCCAGACGTCTAGAATATCCAGAATGATTTAAAATCCAGACAATCAGCAACATTTTATTCAAGAAAATAATAATAATAAAAAAAAAAAAATGTGCTTTAGTTGTGCGCATTTGATATTTTTTTGTATGAAAACATGTGAAGAGTTTCGGTTCTTAATTTCATCTTGGCACTAAATAAAGTATCTCCATACTGAAGAAACAATTATATAATAGCATAAATATAATAGCAGCAATTATATATAATAGCATAAATCTGTATGATAAATAATTTGGTCCACAGTTGCCTTTTTTCTTGGCATACATCTCAAACCAAAACATTCTGCATCAAAACATCTTTTGATTTTACAGCTACTGAATAATTTATAGCCGTGATAGCAAGCTAGTTAATCCTTATTTATTATATTTTGCTTTTATCACTGCTTGACAACCAACACATGGCAGTTTCAAAAATAACTCATGCAGTGATGTCTAAACGATTTTTTAAACGATTTAAAAAAATATTTGTAATTAAATACCAAATAGTATAGTAACCTTTTATATTAGTATTTAGTGATTTTATATAAGCACTTGGCAATGATTACAGACTTCAGCTAACTGCGCTACAAGGTGCTGATTAGGAGAAATTTTACAGAAAGAAATTTCTGTAAAATTTCTTTCCACATGCAAATGCATATCACTACTTTCTTTCCATATGCATATCACTACTATAAATTTCTTTCCATATGCAAAAAAAGAGATTTTGTAAATGCTATCCATATGCCAAAAAATTACATTTTTTATTGTTTGAAATGAGAAAAACTGATTTCTTAGTTAGATAAGCCCAGAACTGATGCACAGACTTTGCAGGAGAATTTACGGAAGAGTAAAATTTATAGAATTTAGAGAAGCATCGAGCAACAAAATTTAGGGATGGCAAATTCCTTAGAATTTAGGCAAGGCACAGGGATGCAGAATTTTTGCATTTGGGAGGCACCTGGCAGCAGTATTTAGGACACACAAAGACTGGACTGGGTCACAAAATATCTAGTGCTGGCCCTGGATAAGCCTTAAGTAAATGTAGAAGTTTATTTATTCGACACTCAAATAAGCCATAAGAATGTGCTGAAAACAAGGTATCACAAATAATTAAAGTAAGTAGATAAATAATTAAACTAATATAATTCAGGTTTAAATTCATCATCGTGTGATAGAAGCAAGATAAAATTTAGCAGAACAATGTCTTTAGTCTCCAATCTCATGATACATCACCAGTACTGTATAGTGGATGCTAGTTATGCTTTATGATGACAGCCACAAATTGAAAGGTTTTCAGATATTAAAAACAAAAAGAAAATTTTTTGAATAAATGGAATGTGTGAAGAAATGTGGCGATAAGTAATGAAGATAATATTACAGAAGCTTTTTCATTAGAATGACAATGCTAAAATCATTAATCAACTAATGGATAGTGAAATCTGTAATATAGAAAACAATAATAATTCTAAATCTAGAAAATATCACTACTGACAGTGAACAAAATGACACAGAAGTAGTTGTGAATGAAAAAAAAAATTGCTTAACAATTTAATGGGAATTCTCAAAACGGAAATTACAAGATTTAAAGAATGGAGTTTTGTAACTGAAGAAGAAATCATGTCTATCTTTAGAATTAAAGATAACCAGGAAGAACTGAAAACAATCACAAATGAAAATTTTGTAATTCTTATTAAGCACAATGAGGATATTGCTAAGCTTGAAGGAATATTTTCCAGCTTTTCAGTTATACACAATAAATTGAAACAAAATCTTATTTTGAAGCAGCAGCTAAATCAGCCATTTGCTTTAGACTGCTTATAGAAGAGGTTAGGCAGAACTTTAATGGAGATTTGGAAGTTTAAACTACTTCCAAATCTCCATTGAAGGAAATACCGTTATGCGACTTTCAAATAAATATGTAAACATTGTAGCTTGTAACTGAATTTGTTTTATTTAAAAATATATTTCCCTTTATAAAAGATAACTCAAACAATTTTCCATTTCATGAGTTTTTTCCAAATACTTCCTCTTTTACTAGAAACTAGATATTATTATACTGATTGCAATGATTTTAACCACTGCAGCAGAAACTTGCCAGCCCTGGGAACACCAAGTGAGAAATTCTCAAATTTTACATACATAAAACTCATTTAATGCTTATACATAAATTGCATTTCTTAACTGCAAATAGTGAAATTCAGAATCGAGAATAAGACTTTACTATAATACAGTAAGATGCAGTTGAGAACTTTTTAATTTGAGAATAGACTTTGCAAGCAAATAAAAATAATAAATAAAATAAAAAATCTGTTATTATTAAAAAAAATACTACTAATAAAAAATCTTGAATCTATAAAAGAGAACTTAAATAAGAGTATATGAAATAAAAACACAGCTACCAGGTTCACTTATGCCCAAAATAAACAATTTTATTATTTTAAACATAGTTTTTAAATTAAAAATGTTACTGAAATTTTCCAGCTCGTACCAAATACTTCCAGATATGACATTCTTTTTCCCCAAATGTATTTACTTTAATCATATTTTTGCAAAAAATAAGACAAAACTTAACATATAAAAACATACTTTTATTCCTGCAGGTAAGTTTGGAGAAAGAGAAGTAATAGATTTATACTCCATTCCTTGAATAGTTGTGCATCCATCTGTTAAGTTCAACATAAGCATTCTTGTTGGTTTAGATTCCCACTAAAAATAAGGTACTGCATTATTATTCACTTCAAGACTTTATTTATTGTTGTTCCCTGGAAGGATATCTTAAAATCTGCTTCTTAAAGCTCATATAGCATTTATAAATAAATCAAGGCAATATTTCTCATACAGTATTCTCTTAAATCCAAGAACTTTGCTAAGTTAATATGCCATTCAGTATCTATCCACACTAAAAAAGTAGTACCTCCCCTCCTAAAAAAAGTACTTTATATTATCATGCTTTCAACATGAATTAAAGCATAATGCTTCTAACAGTTGAAATTTGCATATAGTGGGAATAAAAAAACTTTGAAACTCTGTTTTGGTATTTTTTCCTATATTACAAATGATGTATTTATCCTAAGACTCTAAACATGATTTTTATGTAATATTATTAAATTTTGAACTACAGAAAGGATAACAGTAGTGTATAGCAATTTCTGGCTAAGATTTATGATGAAGCTATGAATTTCAGTCAATTTAGATCCTTTTGAATTTATTCCAACTTTTCAAAATAAACATGAGATACTTAAGTTAAGAATGATATTGTAGATTATCTTTAGACTTAATAAACAATCAGATCAGAAATATAATTTAAAAAAAAAAAAACTGAAAGGTTTCAGATTTTAAATTACGTCCAAAGGGGCCATTTTTTTTTTTTTTTTTTTTTAACATTTTGTGTGTTACCTTTATTTATCAAGTATCATGTTCTATATCCTCAAAACATAAAATTCAGTTCAACAGCAATATCGCAAAATAATTTTTAAATAAATGTATCTTTAGAGTTTACGATACAGAGTCTCGTGCGCTGGAGATAAAAAAGCCCTCCCCACAGTGTCGCCATTGCTCCCTTTGAAATCAAGTTTGTTAATCAAAAATTTGTTGAAGTGTTACAAAATATGAAATCGACAATAAAACAAATTTCAAATTCAAATTAGGGCTTCCACATGCCCATATTCTATGGAAGATTATGTTATTAAAATTTTGATGGCTGTAGGTACCATTGTTTTATCATGATGCGAAAAACATACATACATTCATGCAGATTCTTCATTACTTAATTTCTTTAAATATAACACAGGGCTCTAATATTTGGTGGCAACAATTTGAAAAATGATTCGCTATTTATAGTTTTCAACGCAAAATGCCAAAACGAAATTAATAATCCTTCAGGCCAAATTGCCCCTTTGGATCAATAAGTAATTAAAAAAAAATTCCCCCTTCCATAAATGATGATAATTATACTTGAATGCATAATCCATACAGACATTTATGTAGGAAAAAAAAAGTACAGGAGATTATCCCACACATTTATGATATGACAAGAAATGGGCATCAGATTGTCAATTTAATTAAAAACTAGAAAACTATCACAATTAAGTACTTCAAAACCATGATATAAATATACTGATTTATTAGGAAACATTATTTATTCTTGATTATTTTATGTATTCTATTTTCCATATTTTGAAATATATTATTGAAAATATTGACTTTTTTCATGCATTGATGAAATGAAAAGGCAACAACAGAACAAAATGCCATTCCTGAATGCACTCAGCTATTAAACGTGAAACCAGAGTTAAACAGTATTATCCAAGGGAAATATTCTTCATACTAATGTTTTTATATCATTTTACATAACATGCTTTGAATGTTAAATAGGCCTATACTCATTTACATGGTTTATAATAACATAATCAATAGAGAAAACTAAATTTTTTTACTGAAATTTTCAATGCAAAAATTTTTATGTGTAAATTAATTTGTCTAATTATTAGATTCTTCCAGTGAATTTTTAAATACATTTATTTAGTTAAAATACACTTTTAAACACATGTGCTTTAATTAACAATAAAAAATAATACAGGCTCCTCTTTTATAAATGTTTGCTTTAATGCCAATACTTAGCTTGCAAACACTATAGAAACCTCTATAATTAACAGAATTAAAGCATTTCATAAAAAACTCAAAATCACTATAAATCCAACATATCACAGATTCACTAACCTTTATGCTCTTCTTAAATACCATAAAACCTCTAAAATTCAGATTTATTGCAAATGGCACCAATAATTACATGAAAAATCTAAACACAGAATACAATTATTGCTGGAGTTTCAATAATAACATTCATGTAATTAATACCATTCAATCTATTGACATACGAAGTAACAACTACTATGACTTTGAAAACGTATATACTTCGCTACCATTAGAAGAAATCTATACTATCCTACTTGATCTACCTTTCCTGCTATGCTGACAGTTCTAGATTTTAATAAACAGGAAACCTTTCTTAATTGCACTGTTTTTTATAACTTCATTAAATTTCAAAATAATAAATTTCATTTCAGATCAACTTTTTAAGCAAGTAAAAGGATCTTAATAGGAGCTTACATATCTACAAGACTCTGTAATCTATTTTTATTTATTAAAGACTTTACCTTTCAAAAAACTTTACAGCAAAAAGATTTAATTTACTATGCTCATACTTACAGTTGATCTTATTACCTTTAATAATTTTAACAAAATAGAAAATTCCCAAATTTATCCAGAGAGCCTTATTCTTAATAAAACCTATAATTCACAAAATGTAGTTGACTATTTAGATCTTCAAATAATAAACTATAAAAAGATTTTACTGTTTGACAAAATACACAACTTCAATTTTATTGCTAACAAATTTGTAATGCTCCAAGCTAGAATTTACAGTTAAATGGGTGGAACCTTGAGAACAGGTAAGTGAATAATCACTTTAGTTCAGTACAGAAACATAAACTTGAGAAGGGATTACCCTTTATTGCTAAAATAAAATTTACAGTTGGCCCTTTCTCAGGACGTACATAAAAGCCTTTGGCTTGAACTCAAGAATACTAAGAAATAAAACTTAACTTAATTAAAAAGATATAGCCGAAGCTATCAAAATTCTACAGGAGTTGGCCCCCTAAACACTATCTAAACGGCAAAGCTATCAAGGGCCTGAAATACAGCCGAGCGTAGAAATAGCTTAGAGAGAGTGTAGCGAAAAGGCGAACACACGCCGGTCAGAATCTCTGGTTCTCTAATGAAGTCAGTAGAACTTTGACTTTAAATACTACTCTTCCTTCATTTATATTTAACCACAATTCTAAAAACATACTTTGGCCGGAAATTTGTAAGCTGAAATTAGAAGGTATAGGAAAGTAAATTTAACTGAAGATAACTGTTAACAACTTAAGATAAACCTTACAAATTAATCAACTGGACTTCCAACATTTCCAAATACAATGCATTACAAATATGTAACCTATGCTTTCTCTCTCTCTTCCTTCCATTCTACATCCCAGTTCAAATTCCAAATTCCATTCTGAATAATAAGAAATTAGCAAGCATATTGTCTAAGCTGATTCAGAAGTCAAACAACAAAAATCAGCGTTAATTCACAAAATTTTCACAGGACTAGTTTCGATGGTTTTCCCGAACCATCATCTTCAGCTGCAAAACCGCAAATGAACAAGATAGGAAATAATGTTTAGATAAGATAAGAAAGCCTGGACAAGAATAAGCAAGTGGCGCCATCTGTTGGCGAAACCAGAACTAAAACATAATTTCTCTAAAAGCCGAAGGCAAATTTGGATTGGAATTAGGATCGTTAACTAGAACAGAAAGATTTTTATGAATGTGAAATGCCTCTAGAAAATCCAGTTCTCCAATGGAAGATGTTTTTTGAATAATTTTGGCAGCAGAAAAATTGAAAGTGTGATTTTCGGACCAACAATGTTGAGCAACAGAAGACTTCTGTGTTTCCTTTTTTCTAACATATGCCTCATGTTCTTTGACGCGAAATTTTAAGGCTCTCTTAGTTTGGCCAATGTAAATTAAACCGCACTGGCAAGGAATCCTATAAATACCCCAGGAATTCATATCCGGAATGGGGTCCTTGAGTATAGAAGTTGGAATTTTATTGATGGGAGAGTAAACAACCCGAAAGTTAAATTTCTGCAAAATATGTGCAACTTTATAGCTAATTGATGGAAAGAAGGGAATGACAACAGAATTTTTATAATCTCCTAAAATAAGAGTGTGGCTTTTAGTGTGTTGAGATGAGAATTTTTAAAACTGCTTGATTAATAATGTTGGGTGAAAAAGCCCCTGTCAATAGCTATTGCTTTTAAATAATTTAGTTCTTCATCAAGGGCTAGTTTGGAGGAGCAAACTTGAAGAGCACGGAAAACATAGGAATAAAATGAAGCTAACTTTTGTTTAGTCGGATGACATGATTTAAAGTGTGGTGGAAGGCAAACCGATGAAGGTTTACGGTAAACTGTAGTACTGAAGTTGGATGTGTTACGTGTGACCAGAATGTCGAGAAACGGAAGAGATTTGCAAGCCTCAAGTTCAAAAGTGAACTGAATAGCAGGATCAATAGAATTCATTGTTGAAAGAACTCTATTTAAATCATCTTTATTACCTTCAAACAGGGTAAAAGTATCGTCTACGTAGCGGAACCATGCCGGGAAGTTTAAAGTTTCAAACAATTTTGATTCATAATAATGCATGTAGATATCAGCCAGGATGGGACTGAGGGGGCTTCCCATGGCTAATCCCTCAGTTTGCTTGTAATATTTATTTTGGAAAACAAAATGTGTTTGTTTCAAACAGAGTTGAGTGAGAGAAATTAGCTCATCAATTTCGATGCAAGAGAAATGAAATTCGCAAAGTCTGGTTTCTAGACATCTTAATGCACCCTCCACTGGGACATTGGTGAATAATGATTTTACATCAAAAGAAACCATGAGTAAATTACGAGGAGAAATGTTTTTAACCTTTTTTACAAACTCTATTGAATTTTTTATGGTGTAAATGTTATTGTCTAATAGAGTGGAAAATCTAGAAACTAAATATTTAGCTAATGGATACGAGGCAGTACCTAAATTTGATACAATAGGGCGGAAAGGAATACCACTTTTATGAATTTTGGGAAGAGCATATAATCTGGCACAATTCGCAACAGA